GGTTTAATGGATTAAATAGTGATAACAGCAGATCGAGTTCCCATAGACCCATGAATTTCCATGACTTTTTCATAATTTTTCCAGTTATTCATTATTATTACTTGGATACGCATTTTCAAAAGCCATCATTCAAAATACAAATTTCAAACAAATTAAATAGCTCAATTTAAAATATTTATACTCACTAAAAACTTAATTTCCATTCCAATTTCAAGCCCTGGATTTTTATTTTATATTTTTTTATTTGTATTTTTTATATTTTATCAAGATGCTCTGCAAGTAACTGTACTAATATCAAAGTCTAAATATAAGCCTAAGACTTGTAGTTTCCAGCAGCTACCCCAAGCTCTCTCCATCACAGGTAGATGCGCACAGACAGGCATGGAGTTGTTCCAGGAGAAGCGCTCGCTCTACCTCAGCGGTTCCCAAACCTGTTCCTGGAGGCCCCCCAACAGCACGCATTTTAGCTGTCTCATCTGACACACCCATTTCAACTCTTGGAGCCTCCACTAACAAACTGATGAGTTGAATCAGGTGCGTTTGATTAGGGAGACGTCCAAAATGTGTATTGTTGGGGGGCCTCCAGGAACAGAGTTGGGAACCACTGCTCTACCTGACAGGGAGTAGGTCTCCTGGGCGTCCTCGTTGCCAACTTACGCATTCAAACTACATAATTTATCCAACTTTCAAACGGCTGTGTCTCAAAAAGCCAAATAGTGCAGTATTATACTTGTATAATAACTATATATTTCATGGGGGAGACCGTTGCTCTGTAACTCTTCATTTTTTGTCTAGCAGTCATTCCATTTGATAGCAGCTGTAATCAGGCATTAATGGAAATATTACAAGAGCAGATAATTTATTAAGTAGCCTAGGGAACTGGACGCGTTCCTCAGAGACTCTTGGCAAAGGCTTCGACTCTGAACCCCACAGACAAAGAGAGATATTTCTGCTTTCTGCTAGAGTGATCACCAGCTGTCTGACAGCGCTGTTGCCTTCATCATTTAGTTTCATATAACTGCATGTAACAAAATGACAGCAGAATAGACTTGCATATGTATCCCTTGTATTAAAAATTAGAATGATAACCATGCACGTTTGCAATGCATGCATTTGCATTCTGCCATAATATAAGTTTAAATGAACAAAGTCGTTTGACAACGACCTTACCGTTTAATTGACCAGGAGCGGGCAATTTGGCGACCCTGAGATATGCCGACCTCCTTCAACACCGGGTAGTTCTCTGCTGCCACATATATAGCCTACTTACTGAGTTACTCATACATACTGAGAAGAGCCGGTGGACTGTGCTCTGGTGCTGCGTGGTTCCTCTGCTTCCTTCAGTCTTGCCGCTGGAGAGAGGAACTGAGTTCGGACTGAGCTTTGGTAATGTCCGATTCTCGAACGAATCGCTCTTTTGAACAGGTTCTTTTTAGGGATTCGATCGAGCCGATTCGCACGGGGTAAGAGAGACGCGTCTCAGACTGGTCTCTCAATAATTCTCAACATAGTTATTATCCTTCATAATTCCAAACCAACTTCGTTTTCAACAGCTTAAATCAAAGCGATAAAACTAGGACAAATGAACAACAAATCAAATTATAGAAACAATTCTATAAATACATTAAAAGTGCAGCAAGCGATTTTATGGAAATATAAGCAGAAATAAGCCTACTCAATTAAAGATATAACTGAAATGACTATCTTGAGATATCACACCGTTCTTTGTGACAGTGGTATGTAGGCTAACAGTAAAATAGCCTAAGTTGAGTTGAGCTTCTTGGTTTGGCAAATCAGAGGGCCTAATAGAGGGTCAAACATTTTGCCCGGTAAGTAGGCTACTCTGAATTCGATGCGGTTTAAGTGAGTTTGAATATGTTCATTCATACGCATTCCTTATTTAATATTCATTAGCATTGTCATGAATTAAATTATGATCCAATAATGAATCTTTCTTACCTCAGAATGTTTTTTTTTGTCCTGAAATCCTATTGTAACAAAGAATGTTTTTACTCAGGGCTCAAAAGGAATGTCAGGAGAAATCTATATTCGTAATTTTTCCCTGTAACTTACTTATTTTTAATTTCTTATTGCTAATTTCTAGTTGTTAAACTACGGTGGCCGTAAAGTGCAAAGCAGATCACAATTCTGAAAACAAAATAACAAATTACAAACGCAAATGCAAGTCTAAAAAACAAAATAACAATTCAGAAAGCACAACAACAATTCAGAAAACAAATTAATAAGTCAGAAAGCACAGCGACAATTCAGACAAACCAGAAAAGGTAGGTATAGTTTGAGACAGCACCATTGGTTTGGGATTACTCACCGCTGACTGGATGAGACATCTGTCAATCAACGTATACAGGAAGAACCAGCCGAAGAACAGCAGAGTCGTGGTAGAAAGTTCGGAGATGGTATTAAAGTAGCTCAGTTTAAATGTATTGTATGAATTGCCCTTACTATGGAATAAAAAATACGGGGTGTTTATTTAGATTTAGTTAAAAGTGGCCATAGAACATCAGCTCCAGTGGTGCAGCTGGATAAGCACTTGCCCTTAGCTTTCTGACGCGATCGATCCGGGTTCAATGCCGGCTTTTGTCGAACTTTTTTTTTCTCCCTTTTCAAATCTCGTATTAGCAATGGACACTACGTGAAAATAGCAGTATTTTTTAGCAATACGCTATTTACACTAAGTGCAAATACCTATTTACACTATGTTAAAATAGCAGGATTTCTACTATCAAGTATACTACTTGTTGCAAATAGTGGCAATTATCTGCACTTCAGTATTGTAGTACATTAATAAAACAGTATGCAATAATAACGTATTGAGTGTAAATTATAATTTTAATTATTAAATGAACGCCACCTTATTGGTACAATAAAGCCCTCCCTACACCCACCCTAACCCTACCCGATACTTTATTTTCAACTTTTTGATTATTTCCTTAATTTTTATTGAAAATAAATGCCTTTATGATGTGATACGAGATTTGAAAAGTGAGAAAAAAAAGTTCGGCAAAAGGTGGGATCGAACCCGGGTCGATCGCGTCAAAATGCCAACGACTAGCGCTTATCCATCTGCAGCACTTGAGCTGATGAGTTACAATCACTTTTAACTAAATCTAAATAGACACTCCGTATTTTTTGATTGACAGATGTCTCGTCCAGTCAGCGGTGAGTAATCCCAAACCAATGGCGCTGTCTCAAACTATACCTACCTTTTCCGGTTTGTCTGAATTGTCGTTGTGTTTTCTGACTTGTTAATTTGGTTTCGGATTTGTCGTTGTGCTTTCTGACTTGTTATTTTGTTTTCGAATTTGTCATTGTGTTTTCTGACTTGTTATAATGTTTTCTGAATTGTTGTTGTGCTTTCTGAATTGTTATTTAGTTTTGTAGACTTGCATTTGCGTTTGTGATTTGTTATTTTGTTTTCAGAATTGTGATTTGTTCTGCACCTCTCGGCCACCGTATTAAACTAATGGTGTTACAACAAACTCTCCCAGCAAATACAACACTTGACGCAAATCTTTTAGAATATCTCTTAAACATTCGAACACTTCGTAGTAAACAGGAGCATTTCAGAACAAACGTAACATTTCTTGGAACAGTTCGAATCTTTTTTGAACAGCTGAATTTGAAACGAACCGTCCGAACGAATCGATTCTTTCAAATGAATCCGACTTCCCCATGCTACAGCGCTCGTTTGCAGGAAGACCGACTGTGAACGCAGGGAGGAGCCACAGCAAAGAACAATCGCGCTCTGTGCGTCGCACCGTTATATTCGCTTTGATGAACTCGTGCTCAGAGGAGGCCGTCTCGATCACCTGTTGGATATCGGATACCCCCTAAACAGAGCCGGATACCAGATGCGCTGTCTTCAACAGTTACGAACCCTCAGAGGAAAACGTGATTCCTTTACCTTCACACTGAAATGAAGAACAGGCGTGAAATAAAAAAAGTTCTTGTTGGGTTTGGATCTAAGAAACGATGCTCTTTTAATCTAAAACAACTTAACATTGAAGTATCAGGAAACATCGTTTTAACTTGTTAACATTTTTCAAAAGGGTTCTGTTTGAGGTCTCCAAATCTCTCCAAGTCTCAATAAATGCAATGTATATTCACATACTTCTTTGATGATATTTGTGTAGAGTTTTTTATTTGTTTTATTATAAATGTATACATTGTATTTTTGCTGTGACCAAACTGACCCCAAACAGAAGCAGAATTATTAGTGAAAAAAAAAATGGTACAAAAGTGTATAATTTTCACTGAAATACTCATAATCAGTTAGGCCTACATTTATTTTAAAAAGTGCATGTCTACTTTATGGAGGAAAAAAAGAATTAAAACCTCAATAATTTTAATCAGTCAAAAGTCATTATTAGGTCCAAAAAAAGCATTTAAAAAATGTTAATAAGAGAAAGTAATTAGAAAATTATCATTATTATTATTATTATTATTACACACTTTAGATATTAGAGGTCTTTGGGAACCCAAACATAAATACAATAAAACAGACTCAACAGAGCATGAGGTAAATTAAGTTCTGACTCTTGCTTTGATGTTTTCCAAGTTAAAGATTTATTTTATTCTTTTTCTGTGTGTGATAAAAAAAAACATATAATGATATTTGTTCAAGAAAGTTTTCACTGTGCATTGCTCCAAATATATGTCCAAAATGCTTTAATGGGTCCCTAAACCAATTGAATGCAAAATATATGAAGCAATTTCTTGTAACTGTTTTAGACATTAGTCTGCAGCACCGCGCTTCAAAACATTCAGTGGTTACATCCCAGGACTTGGGTGAGAAAGTAAGTTACAGTTTCTGAGAAGCCTGAAGGGAATGCAAATTTGAGTGATTCGAGCAGCCCACACTGTTCACCTGTGTGCATAGAAACACACAGAGACCCATACTCGCAAATAAGCGCACACGTTTTCTCTCAAGCTGACACACACACACACACACACACACACACACACACACAACTTGGCAAGCATAGAAGCCGTCTAGCGTACAAGCCAGATCAGAGAGCTTCATCACTTCAGCAGACAAAATACATTTGTTATAACTCCTTCACCAGTTCATCCGTGCCGTGTCTCCACTCTTTTTTTCTCACTCTCTCTCTCTTTTTCTTTCTATCCCTCTCTTCCTGGATTTCAGCTACAGGCCACGGTGAGTGTTTAATAAGATTATTCTGGCTTTTTTTTTGGCTCTGTCTGCCAAGAACTGTCTGTTCTTATCTTATCCTGAGGCAAATTCACAACCTTTCAAGGTCGATCAAAATGTCAGTCATGTAACATGTACAAATGAGGAGTGATATTAGCAAATGAATGTTCAGCAGAGGTCAAATACCATACAGACACATAACCATTACATTAAATTAAGATTGTAGATATCAGCCTAATTTGTAACATCTTGCAGGCACATATGTATGCATGTTAAGCAACACTTTTGAGGGCTGTCTAAGCAGATGTGGCATGTTGAAAAGCATGTTCTTAACGCGGAAAGTCAAGTGTGCAAATTTCAAACCTTATCTTGAAGTTGTCTACATTTATTTATTTATTTAGTTATTATAATTTAAGTACTGCTAACAGTTGTATCTTTTTTCACAGGTAGAATTATGATCAGAAATGATTGTCTAATGGGATTTTTCATGAGTTTATGATTGCCGGCATGGATCCAAATTGTGCAAAAATATTATGCATTTGGTCAGTTTATACTTTTTAAGTTTGTTTTATTGTGCAAATGTATATGATTTGTACATAATATGCAGTCAGAAGGTTAATATGTGTCTCTTCAAACATAAAATAGCATTACTAGCATCACAGTGCAGCACAAAAGATAGCACAAAGATAAAATATTTATTGAACTGCAGAACAGGTGCAGAAGATCTGCAAAGGTTCAGATGCTGTTAATTGGCTTGAACCATATGTGCAATTGTAATTTTTAAGTACAGAGTGCCATTTTCATTATAAATTAACAGGTAAATTATTTTAAAAGATTGTACATGTATTTTTGACAATGAAATATTTTGATGCATTGAGAGTCCCATTACTTTAATAATTTTGCTCAACTTATGTAATAGCACAAACAGGTGACACTTCTTTTAATTCTGCTTGATTGAAATCAGTGTTTCATCATACCTTAAAGCATCAGTATGCACTATGTGGAACACTGAATCACAAGTAACTCAAAGGTTTCACTGCTCTGAGTTTGGTGGCAAGAATCCAGACTGTTTCACTGCCCGAATGCCCGTGATATTTCAGTGGTCCTTTGAGACCATCTAAATATGGGCACAAAATCATGCAAAGTTGGACAAGAAAAAGAGTAATAAAAACAAAAACAAAGTGAGCAGTCTTGAAAAGGACAGGGGTCAAATAGCCTTTTACGTATAGGAAAAAGAAGGTTTTCGTTTCCATTGTAGGCTATTTTGCCTGTTTGAACAAAGTTAGTTTCCATTCAAGGCAGTTGAGTTTGGGTCTATGGACATAAACACTGTGAATATTTTAGGGCTCATTAAGTAGCATAGTTCAGATTCTTGTGTTCAGAACATGGAAAATCTGTAAAAATGATGAAACAATTATTGGGGCATTTTAGTGAACTCAATCAAATGAACTGTACCAACTCAGGTTTCTTAGCTTTAACTTCATCTCCAAAATCTCCAAGTACTTCTAAACAACCTTAAAAACGAGCGTATGCCTCAACACCTTGATCTTATTTATGTCTTGAATAGTTTTCAAAGCCGCTCAATTTCAAAGCTCCTTTTATAGATTAAATAGACAGCAAACACCCATCTCAGATGGTTGCTTGCTTCTGAATGCATGAGACATTTTGTTCGCAATGATACAATTATACCCCCATTACGGAAGAGAAGATGCTTCGATGAGGCTTGGCCGCAATATCGTCACCCATCTTTCACACCGGAAAATAATGTTTAGACAAACAAATGATTAAATTCCATTACACTTTCTGCTTAACATTGACACATCTATCTTAAAGATACGTCTTTGAAGGCTGAAAATGTAAATTCAAACTAGTAGACCTAAGTACTACCTCTACATTACGGAAGAGAGGCTGTTTCGATGAGGCTCGGCCGCAATATCATCACCCATCTTTCACACCGGAAAATAATGTTTAGACAAACAAATGATTAAATTCCATTACACTTTCTGCTTAACATTGACACATCTATCTTGAAGATACGTCTTTGAAGGCTGAAAATGTAAATTCAAACTAGTAGACCTAAGTACTACCTCTACTTTCCCAAAATTATAATATTATTATTATTATTAATATAAATATAAATATATGCATTTAAATTCTTTAAATATAATTTATATGTATATCATTTCTAAATATGCCCGAGCCCACCGCAGACAGAGCGCCAGAGCCTGCCGCGGTCATTGAGCCATCGCCATCAGGAGCGACAGAGCGGATGATCACCCCGGAGCCTGAGCACCCAAGTATCTGACCAGGTGCGAGAGCCAGCAGCCCAAGCGACGGTGGAGAGAGCTGTGGACATCACGGGGGCTACAGAAAGCCCTGCCCACGGCACCACCGCTGAGGGTGAGCTCACACTGGACTCGGGACTATTAATCGACTTGGATACTGAAATACTCTTCACTCCATCTTCATCTGTACTGTCGGATTGGCAAGATGTCCCACCCAACCTCCTTCTCGCTCCACCTCTCATAGACTTGTTTCCTTGCTCAACGCCATTTCCACTGGATCCCGTTAGCATCTCTGCTCACCCTCAGCTCACCATCTGTGACGTGGGCTTGCTGCTGGTCTGCCTATCTCCAGCGCCATTGGCGTTGAGTCTGGAGGATCCCTCGACTCCACCTTCAGCCTCCGAGGCCCAGGCTCAACCTCGGTCCTGCGACCCAGCGGCTCCACCATGGCTCCTAGCTCCCTGGTCTCCACCATGGCCCGTCAGTCCACCAGCTCCATCGTTCCTCCGGCTCCGTCTTGGTCAGTCGTTGACCATCTGCCGCCTCGGGACTCCACTCCTCTGGCTCCACCATTGGAGTTGTCAGCCCTTCCTCCACCGTGGCTCCACCGTGGCCCGCTATCATGGCTGTGGCCTGGGTTCCACCTGGCTCCTCCTCCTGCTCCGGTTCCCTCCTGTCATCTCCCTGCCAATCATCCAGCCAATTTCAATCTGTCGCTTACTTGCTTTGGCTCTGGATTTGGGTTTAGAAGTCTCTGGTGTCTCTTCAGATTGGGGTTCAGTTGTAGACTGCTTTCATCTTTTCTCTCAGTCTTTCAAACAGACCCAACTTCCTTTTGGAAGCAGGGTTCTGCTTTCTGCTTAACATTGACACATCTATCTTGAAGATACCTCTTTGAAGGCTGAAAATGTAAATTCAAACTAGTAGACCTAAGTACTACCTCTACTTTCCCAAAATTATAATATTATTATTATTATTAATATAAATATAAATATATGCATTTAAATTCTTTAAATATAATTTATATGTATATCATTTCTAAATATGCCCGAGCCCACCGCAGACAGAGCGCCAGAGCCTGCCGCGGTCATTGAGCCATCGCCATCAGGAGCGACAGAGCGGATGATCACCCTGGAGCCTGAGCACCCAAGTATCTGACCAGGTGCGAGAGCCAGCAGCCCAAGCGACGGTGGAGAGAGCTGTGGACATCACGGGGGCTACAGAAAGCCCTGCCCACGGCACCACCGCTGAGGGTGAGCTCACACTGGACTCGGGACTATTAATCGACTTGGATACTGAAATACTCTTCACTCCATCTTCATCTGTACTGTCGGATTGGCAAGATGTCCCACCCAACCTCCCTCTCCCACCACCTCTCATAGACTTGTTTCCTTGCTCAATGCCATTTCCACTGGATCCCGTCAGCATCTCTGCTCACCCTCAGCTCACCATCTGTGGCGTGGGCTCGCCGCTGGTCTGCCTATCTCCACCTCCATTGGCGTTGAGTCTGGAGGATCCCTCGACTCCGCCTTCAGCCTCCGAGGCCCAGGCTCAACCTCGGTCCTGCGACCCAGCGGCTCCACCATAGCTCCTAGCTCCCTTGTCTCCACAATGGCCCGTCAGTCCACCAGCTCCACCGGGCTCCATCGTTCCTCCGGCTCCACCTTGGTCAGTCGTTGACCATTCGCCGCCTCGGGACTCCACTCCTCTGGCTCCGCCTCGTCCCTCAGGCTCTGTCAGGCTCCTCCTTCCCTCCGGCTCCACCTCAGTCATCTGTCGCTCTGACTCCACCAAGGCCTTCCAGATCCCAGACCGATGGCGGTGGAGCAGGGGATGGAGGAGCCTGAGGTCTCCGCCTCGGTCGCCGGCACCATCTGCTCCGCCTTGGTCCTCCGGATCCTCAGCGTCGCCCTGGCTCATCGGCTCTCCGTCTCCGCCTCAGGCTCCTCCACCCCCTGCTCCACCGCCATCGGTTGGACCATTGGAGTTGTCAGCCCTTCCTCCACCATGGCTCCTCCCTCCGTCGGCTCCCCCCTGGGCCCCTATCATGGCTG